ATCTGGTCTTTTTTTGTGAGTTAGAATTATGCTCTACATCCTTCTCCAGCTCTGTCCAGAACCCTCTGTTGTGATCCTGGTCAGAGCAGTTAGTGTGAACCACCAATTTTTTGGTTAGCAGCCAAGTGCTTAACCACCGCACAACCAGGGCTCTTACAGTAGATACTGTTAACGCCCATTTTACAGATGAGGAAACTGAGGCTCAGAGAGATTGAGTAATTTGCCCCAGGTCACACACCTGGTTAAAGGCAAACAATAACAGTAGTAGCAATAGTGATAGAGTTTGAGGGTAATAATCATAATAGTAATAGTGATAAAAATAACTTGCTCAAGGTTACAGAGCTAGTGAGCAGTGGAGTAGAATTTGAACCCACCTCTTTCTATAATGTTCTTATTTGTGTTGATCTTTTCTCATTAGATTGATTATTCTCTGGGGTCTTAAGGCTGGCCTTGCGGGGTGCCACCTTCTGGAGACCTGTGGCACAGATCTCACCTCTCAGGAGGCCTTCTCAGAGCCCCCCTCCAGCTCCTCCCTGCCCGCTCGTGGGAGCGCTCCCCATCCCTGGAGCAGTAGGTAAGCCAGGGGACGAGGCGGGCCCCAGCCCGCACCCAGCTAAATAAAATCTTCCTTCCCTGTAAAGTTATTAATTTCTCATGACAGGCCTCTGCTACCAGGCACTGTAATAGACAAAGGAATTTTGGACCCGGAGCCTCTGGAGAACAGGAAATAGATGAGACATTTTGATTGAAGAATAAATGGCCCACTAAAATAGCAGTTAATCCTTTTATTATCTTTCCAGCAGCCGTTTCCACAGTTCTTTCATGAGGTAAGCCTCCCCCGCCTCATCCAACTATAACACTCCCATCCATGCAGCTGTTTTAAATTTAGCCTGCGGAGCCTCTGCTCCTTCACCAGGCAGTGTCTTGCGATGTGCTGTGAGGAGCCGGGCTCCCCTCTGCCCGGGCATCTTTGTCCTCAGGCCAGGCCCACAACCCGGACTCGCCGCCCTGGCCCCCGCCATGCCCTCTCCATGGCGGTCCACGCCATCCGGAGGAAGCTCCGTAATCTCTTTGCAATATCCTGTTACGTTTCTTACATGGCCCAAGTTGTCTTAGCCTTATTAAATTTGGGGTTTCATCTGCATTATGATAGTGAGGTTACATCCAACCCAAACACTGACACGACGCCTCGAAGACGTTAACTTTGAAAAGATTAATTTCATGCTTTCTTAGGTTGGTTCTCCCAGATGGTTTGGAATTCTGATCGTCTGAGACAGCAGAAATTAGCAGACTGCATAGTTTGCTTTTCTCCACATCAAGAAACACAGAGAGTGGAAAAGGAAAACCTCTTAACAACAAAGCCTTTTTCTACCTTGGGTTTTATAAATAGTGATAGTAATAACAACGATCTTTGCTTTTGTGAAGAGTTTTCACAAATCTAAGCACAGTGTAGAAGGCGTGTTCAAAGAAGTACATAGCCCGGGTTTAGAGTCCCAGCCTGGCTTTGCTACTTACCAGCTCTGTGACCTCAGGCAGGTGACTTACCCTTTCTGAACCATAGCATACTCGACTGCAAAATGGACCAACAATAATACCTGCTTTTTAACGTTGTTATTAGAGTTAAAAGAGATGACAAAAGGGAACCAAAAAAAAAAAAAAACTGTTGCCGTCAAGTCAGTTCTGACTCATGGCAACCCCAGGTGTGACAGAATAGAACTGCTCCATAGGGTTTTCTTGGCTATAATCTTTTTTTGTTTTGTTTTGTTTTTTGTTTTTTTCAACAACATCAGTTTATTGAGCAGATTACCTGAACCGGTAAGAGTTTTAACAGTTTAGATGCCTTTCCTCATTTTATGCTTATAACTTTGAGGTAGTTGTTAGTATTAGGCTCTCAGTTCAGCTCACCTACTTATTAGGTGTCTTGGTCATCTAGTGCTGCTAT